CCATCTCGTACAGATTTTTCAAAAAACGTTATAACGCATTACATAAAAGAAAGGCCACTACACGTAGTTTTGAGACTAAAAGACGTAGATTTCACACAAATAATTAGGATGAATGGGGATCCATATTTGTATGACATCAGTGTTCATCCATTTTCTTCAGTTTGTTTGTATTTTTCTTAATAATTTTTCTTAACTTAATAATAAAAATTGTCATTGTGGTAAACGAAATAATTATTTGATCTAAGTAAGAGTGTTTTTCTTCCCGATTTGTAAAAAATCCTTACGTGATAGAAAAAAATGAATATTATTTTTGAAGTCTGCGTAGTTGAATTATGGAAAATCCGTTATTAAAACCAAAACAACTTTCATGAAGTTTAAATTCGCAGGCCTGTGTAATTAAAGCAGGATAAAAACAAGAGACCAAAAAGTTCGTCTTCGCTTCATGAGGTCAAAGAGTTTCCAGCCAGGGTGGACAAAGTCCATAACTGCCAAGCTGTAAAAGAATAAGCTATCCGACCGCCTAAGATTGATACTTTTAATTTGAGGATGGCCAAGCGTACCCAGACTGTGTATCAGAAAGTTAGTGTTTCACGTCCTGTTGTTGAAAAAAAAACATCTGCTCTATGGTATTGTGGGTGCTTTATAAAAGTGATACCAAATTCCACTATTCGATCAGAGTTGGTGGTAAATGCTGTTGACTAGTTGCCTTCCTTCTAGTGTGTCTGCTCAAAATTAGGGACGGATATGCGCAGATAACTTTTGTGTAACTTTACACGAAAATTGTAGAAACAAAAGAAAAACATACTCCTGAGATGATAGTTTTTAAACTTTACCTGACCTCAGCAGGTGAATATTGATCATTAAATAGTTTTTCTGAAGATAACACACTTTCTTTAACTTCCTATGTTAAGCGATTCAATATTATCAATAAGATAACTTATAATCCTACTTTAGGTGATATAAATTGGAACTGAGATTTTTCGATGTCATTGTTTATTGTGATGATTTTTTGCGGGAATTCCCCACTAACAATCGTTCCTCAACAGAAAATATTTCAGTGAAAATCAAATGATGTAATTGGATATTCTATATATTACCTTCCACAGTCTACATGCTAATGTAGGTGGCGTTACTGGAATGTTACAGGTGCACTTAATCTTAAGCAATCAATTATTTGTTTATTTCGATATACATGGGACAAATTTTGTTACCCTAACTTTCTATTTTGAACCGAGAGTTTCAAATTTTGTATTAATAACGGTTTTATCCTAAACAGTGGCCACCTTCAAAACCGAGCAGTCTCTTCATCAGTATTTCGGGAAGGCTAAAGATATGTATCGAAGTTAATGCTAAAATTTTGAAAAATTAAGATGTATGAAAAGTTTTATGAAATGTATCAGAGACCAGTCGCATGGTGCGCAGGTGGGTGGTGAGGTTTGCGAGTATTATTCCGCCGGCGCCATCGTCAAAATGCCAAAATAGTTAGACAAAATTAGCTAACAAAACACCGTAACAATTCCATAAATAGCTCAGCTGACATTCCACTAGGCTGACTGTAGACACTAAGATTCCTACACTAATTTACAAGTAATGCTGGTTTCTATCGTGAGTAAGAAGGTGAAAATATCACCGCTGTTTGAAGGTTATGCGACTTGTTGTGGGAAGTGGACACTTTCATCGTTTCGTTTCCATAACAACAAAACTAGTTTACAACATTCTTTAAAAAACATGGCCTGGGGAGGTTCAACACTTTTTGAACTTATCCCCCACTCAATGATTTACGACGATTTCAACAATACCGAAACTAGTGAAACTCCTGTCTCAAGATTTGTATATAAATGTGCAAAGACACATATGCGTATCTTTTTTTTCTTTTTCTTTGTGCAGACATATTTATCTTTTATATGTTGGCATTAACAACAAAAAGTTTCCATTTAAATCACCATAGAAAGTCTTGGTTGCTTTACGATGTTGCTATTCTTTACGTGTTATTGCGTTGTGTTCCTTGGATCAAAAGATGTAACCAACAACGAAATAAAAGATATTTCAAGCATTTACACACAATGAAAGGTTAAATTAAACGCTTATTTTATCCCAGTCTAAAGATTAGGTGATAATTGTTAACCTTTAATTATAGTATAGTAATTATTTGTGGCATATTTGTTGCTATTAATAATTCTTGAAATGAATCTACAAGTTAGAGAAAATTCACTACACATTGTTTATTCCTATCAAAGATACTTGTAATTTATTTTCGTACAAGCACCAAAACCAAGACATTTACTGATTACATAAATAACTAGTTACCGGAAAAATTCAGTTTGAACTGACAGATCTGTCTTTGTACATTAACATTCGACCTTGAAATATAAAACAGATAGAATTTTAATTTCATTTCTGGGCAGGCTGGTTTCAAAGTTTTACTTAACCTAACTTCAAATAAAGATCTGTCCTAAGGCCTCGCCCCCCCCCCCCACAGTGGCACAGCGGTATGTCTGCGGACTTACAACGCTAGAAACCGGGTTTAGATACCCGTGATGGGCAGACCACAGATAGCCCATTGTGTAGCTTTGTGCTTAACTTCAAACTTATCAAACTTACTTAAGGCCTAGTCAACTATAGTCGAGTATGTATAAAAGTATTTTGCTTCCATCAAATATCCCTGGCCACAGTGACCCAAATATCTGATTAGGAGATAAGGGCAATCTGACAAGAATATCTGGATATAGGCTTGAGTTTCGTGCATTATGACTTGATATAGACATAAATCTATTTAGACCGAACCAAAGTAAAGTTAAAATTTAGAAGTTCGATTTGACCTCCCATTCCACAATATAATATACAAGAATTAAAAGTAGCTAAAAACAGTATTTCGAAATAAGAAAGACTAAATTTTCAGTTTGATTATGAAGTAGAATCTGCAGCAGTGTTTATTACTGAAATGTTTTGTTTATCACTTATACTTTGTTTGGTGATTTCAGACTCTGAAAACATCAAGGTCCCACCTTCTTTCGCCTTTCTTCACCATTACAGGATATGTGAAGATGGAGGATATCAATGTTTGAAAAAACCTTCAGTTATTGACAGGACAGCTTTGTATCTAAACAGCACCTTATTGTCTCGTGTCCGGAATATGTGTCGCAGGAGCTTTGCAGGTGCGTGTCCTCCGTCACCTCCACTAGGGTCCCCCTGGTGACTGCAGATCCTTATGTTACATTATGAACTTGTTGTATTCCGATGTAATTGTTCAAATTATCATCTCTACATGTATTATATTCAAAACAATAAAAAATTTCAAAAGATGTTGCAAAATGACTTAACAGGTCTGTCTATATGTTAGATTTCGTTTAGTGCTTAACCAGTCTTGTACGACTTAGAGATACCGTAAAAAAATATTTATTGTAATTTTTTGTAGTTTTGACACATTTTCCATTTTCAAATACAGATATATATCAATGATACAGTTCCTCACAGAAAAGCAACAACATATTATACATATATTGTCGTGTTTACTGTTTAGTTGGTGATCTGGAAACGATGAAATTTTTATTTTCCAGTATATAAGTATGTTGCAAGTTAACAAAATAAAAAAACAAAATATATATATAAGTGTGCGTGTTTGTGTGTATTTATATATACATAAACTGGTAGGTATTGTTATAAAGAAGTTAGAAGCTGTGAATGATTATTTGTAACAATATTTCACAGAGTGTTCCCATTATTCTATTGTCAGAATATATGCCTGTTTTGAATAACCGATTCTATTTGTTTACTTACTATTGGCTTACTCTTTAGTGCCTGAGATGCAATTTTTGACACGCTAAAGTGTCTTCTTTGAAATAATTTATATGTTAATATGTCGTGTATTTCAAATAGTTATTAAACTAAACCTTCAATATTCCAGTCATTTTTGACGCATAATGCTTATCTAGTTCTACATAATGAAAATAAATATTTAAAAGCGAAGACAGCGGCATTATCAAATTAGTCAATAAGTAAGCATTCTTTTATACGTCTTAATGTTTCATGTGCTAATCAGACTAAGGACAAAAAAAAACGTTTTATTATTATTATTTTTAAAATACTCAACACACGCTAGTACCAAGTGAAATTTTGGCAATAATGTTTTCACGTAAGAATTACTAGAATACATTTTGTAACGATTAAACACGCACCAGAATGGGAGAATAATAAAAAAAGTAACTTTCCATGTCAGACCAAAGTCCACAAGGATCACAGAAATAATCAAGTTTTGGATCACAGAAATAATCAAGTTTTAGATATCTATTAATTTATATTGATATACAATACCAGTATCTAACGTTTTAATCAAATACCTAAGCTCCTCATCCCACCCCTTCCAGTCGCGCTCACTGACATTTAACAATTCAGAAGTTGTGAATGCTTTTTGTGAGCTTTTTTTTATGCCTCTGCCACTCTGTTTGATATTTTGTATTCTTATTATTTTTGTTTGCCGTGTTATTGAAATATTGCATACAGTACTATTCTGAGACTGTTTGTTTGATTATGGAATTTCGCGCAAAGCTACTCGAGAGCTATATGCACTAGCCGTCCCTAATCTTTAGATGAAAGATACAATTCATCAAGGAACCTGTGATCCATAACAATCCATTATGTGCTAACCACTGAGCCACAGTTGTCCCATTGTAAGTTATAGTATTTTCATCATTTTAATACAGCTTTGTTTTAGATCCCTCGTTTTAATTCTTTTTGGTAATTTTCTCGCTGAAAACTCTCACTACCCTGACTTTATTATCTCATCCTTAACGAATTGTCATCTTAATTATAGGTACACAAAATTTCTGAAATAATTTCTCATGACAAACCAGTGATCCATCCCTATCACGAGAAGTCCGTAAGTTTAAATAAAAAAAAAGTTTGTTTCCAAACCAGCACCAAGGAAGATTATGTTCGTTTTCTACAACATGACTGGATTATAATGATTTTTAACACCTTCAGTCACCCAAGAACGTGTAACAGATATCTTCAGGCTATTATCCTTCATCATGTAGACAATTAATTGGTCCTGCATAAAGAATATAAGGGTGCAGTTACGTAGGATAACATATTCATGATTTACTGTGTTTATTAGACCATACCGCGCAAGGCTGTTTTCGGAACCACGTTCATCAATGTGGTTTTATCTTCTAATTTACTGACAGAACGATTACTACAATTCGATTTAATTTGTTGTATTTTTCTCCTCCAAAGAATAACCATATGATAAGAAAGTTTACACACCACCTTCATTTTCGCATCTTACTTTTATCCTGAAATCAGGCCTGGGGTTAGTGCGCTCGTCTGTGGGTCGCGGGTTCGAATCCTCGTCATCGAACATGCTTGCCCTTTCAGCTGGGAGGGTGTTATAATGTGACGGTAAATGCTATTATTCGTTATTAAAAGTGTAGCCCAATAATTGGCAGTGGGTAGTATTGACTAGGTGACTTCCCTCTAGTTTATCACTGCTAAATTGGGAACAGGCAGCGCAGACAGCCCTCAAGTAGCTTTGCGCAAAATTCAAAACAAACCAAAGTCTGAAATCAATGTGCATTTCACTTTTTCGCGCGATAAGTCAAAAGCAAAATAATAATAAAAAAACACTTTCTTTTCTGAACTGGAATTACGACTTTCTTTCATCTTCAATAAAGTCTACTGCAAAATCCACTTATCTAATTGTCCATTGTATATCATAGACTGATAAGCATGAAACTGAAAACGTTGAAACAATAATTTTGAACGTCCAACCTGCCTCAAATGATTAGTCAGTTCAAGCAATAATCAACAAAGACCTTCCACTTGACCCATCCAATTCTCTTAACTATAGGCTTTTTAATCATCAGGAAATGAGGAAAAACACCCAGGTTACTGACCCACTATCTGAAGAAGCGTTCGCCACAAGACTTTTGTCCTTTGTTTTGGGCAAATTTCAGAAACTATCGAGTATTCAGTAAATCTTAACCAGTTAAGACCTACCTCACTTTGAGATGTTCCTATTGAGTTTCGGAAACCACTTTCCTCAACATTTCTCTGACGCCTAATTCATGTAATCCTCTCCTAATTTTCATTTTGTTGTGCAACAATATCCATCTAATAAATTGTAAAACTTGCTTTTCAATCTGTTCTTTCTTGTTCCATTTTTCTCCTGTTATTTTAATCTGTCATTGTTATTTACATTTTTCTGATTTCTTATATATTACTGTTTTCCGCCTTCACCAGTTTTATTTATTTGGTTTGTTTCCTTGGCCAGTGTTAGTTAGTTAATTATCAATGGTTGTTTGCTTTTTCTTATTGGTACACGCTTTGTTTTTTATTTTCTCATCCTTTTGTTTTTGGCTACAGTCAGTTTTCACGGTATAGTTATTATCTGCTACAACAAGATGGTGAGTAAGTATACGCTTCCTGGACATCTCGATATTTAATCAACTAATTACCATTGTAAAACTGAGCTGAAACAATATTCGTTTCTCTATTTTCTTAGATCATACATACATACCAACACCTATACATCATAATAAATACCTCTCTTTCTCGACCACATTCCACTAAACTTGTATAGATTTATCATTATTTACCTGTATCAGTTTGACGAATACCTACGCCAGCAAATCAATAAGATGGATAGACCTACATTCCATATACACATATACATACGCTATTTTGCCAGAAGTATCCCTACAACAATCCTTTAACATATGGATCAAGAGAAGTAACACACATCAGCGGCTTAGAATGGTAGTATCAAAGTCTGTCTGTGAAATCGATTATGAAATATGTGTAAAGATTGGCCATGCTCGTCATCTATACATGAGACCATTTAAAGATATGGAGAACTTCATAGTACAATATTTAAATCACTTTCAACTCATCCAAGACAGGTGCCACAGCAGGCAAACTTTCGCTTGTTGGAAGTAATGTTTTCAATAAGTCCCTCCGGTGAGACAGCGGTAGCTCTACGTACTTACAATGATAAAATCCGGGGTTTGATTCCCCGTTGTGGACATAGCAGATAGCCTAATGTGGCTTTGCTCTAAAGCAAACAAAATCTTTTCAATAAATTCACTGCGACACTAATGTTATTGTGTACCATCTGTGAGGTCTGTGTATATTCTTTCCATGAAGATGGGTACTTTGGAAAAGGCCACAACACACAAACCATACAACATCATCCAGAATGGGAAACATTTGGTTTTGCGTAAGCGAAATGATATCGATTTTTATAGAGTGATGAAAGCCTCTTCACTCAGTCTTCAAATGATATCCAAAATATGAACCTGATGGCGATAAATTAGTAAATGGACTGTCAATATACTATGCCAAGTATTAAGTATTGTTATGGTATTAGTTGCATTCTGTACATTGGACATTAAATTTAGTTGGAATGTTTATGTAGTTTCTAACTACAAACCACAATTATAAAACGCCTCACTGTATTTCTTTGGTTTGTTGACCTACGTTGTGCTGATGAGCCTAAAAGAGGAGAAAGTGCAGTCCACAACAAATGGTGTGGCAAATCAAAGAATATAATAGGTCTCTAAGTCATATATTATATTTTCAACACTAGCTTTGGTAAAAAATAAAATAAATGTGTAATATCACTATCTAGAACATTTCTGCATGATTAAATGCCCTGAAATATCTCGAGATCCGAAATGAACATGCTCTAAGAGCCATGGTGAACCTTTCTAGTCAGCAAACCAAGATGTTGTTTCATCAGGATATTACTTCATGCTACAAAATAAGCCAAACTTTTGTTTCATCAGGATATTAATTCATGCTACAAAACAACTATTGTTTCATCAGGATATTACTTCATGCTACAAAGTAAGCCAAACTGTTGTTTTATCAGGATATTGCTCCATGCTACAAGATACCTAAGACGCATGTCCAGTTTCAAAGTATATGTGTTTTTGTGTGTGTTTTAAATGACGTAATCAAATACCAAATCGTAACATATTTTCAAGACCATCTAGAAGAGTTAGTTTAGGTTAGATCACAGACTTCTAGTCTTCACGATGTGATTAAGCTTTTAAAACAGTTTTAAAAACTAATTTCACTACACATTTCATGGACAGCACCAAAGAAGTTCAATATCGAGTGATGAGGACCCTTTCAATAACTACTTTTCTGGACATTTTTGACAAGGCAGTATATAGCTATGTATACTCAACAAAGCAGACACTTAAGACAATATTTTGTGAATCTAACTTGTCAATCAGAAACTAATGTGTTGGAAACATTTGTGTATATGATACTGTACTAGTTAGTGTATGGTTAAACTGGCCGGTTCGCATTCAGGTTATCTGAAATCCCAGTATAGAACTCATTATAGTTAGACACACTATTTTTCTTCCTCAAAGCAGTCAATAAATTTGTGAGATGTTAGAACCTGAACCGCGTATTGGAATCACTTAACCCTTGAATCCAAAACTGGAAAAGTGATTTTTCTATGATAGTTAAACACAAGTCTTTACCCCCCATTCAAAAGGGCACTTCGCTACCGTGCCCACTCCGCTGTTCCACCCCACCCCCCCAAGGCTGTGTGTTTTATAGATTAAGAATGCTGGGATACATTATGATAAGCTATTTTTCAATCAATTGCTTTTCTTAGGGCTAACAACGCTAAAAATCGAGTCTAGATACCTGTGGTGGGCAGAGCACAAATAATATATTGTGTAGCTCTGTGTTTAACAACTAGGAAATAATTAAAATACTTTATTAGCAATTATATGAATTTGGTTGTAGTTTCAAAAAAACAAAAAACTAAACGAGTATACTTTTCCATAACGTATTTAATAGATGATATTTTTGCAATTCGTTAATTAGTACTTTCAAATATCTGATTTCATTTCTGAGAACCTGAGCACTGTATTTATTGAACTTTGAATGTTTGTAATTAAGCACAAAGCTACACAATGGGCTATCTGTGCTCTGCCAACCACGGGTATCGAAACCCGGATTATAGCGTTGTAAGTCCGTAGACATGCCGCTGTGCCACTGGAGGACAACTTTGAATGTAACAATTATTTTATTTCTTGCAGTGAATTTGATAAAACATTGTCCTGTTAATATAAAAGAGTTGAATTTTATTATCTTCGTTATAGAAAATGAATAAATAGTTTTCTAATTACACAGACCTGCGATGGTTTTATTGTATTGAAATTTTTACATGTTCTACGATAATGCCTGTTCGCAGTATCCGAAAATGATATCTATTTATCTCCATCACGTATAATTTTTCATAAAACGTCATAACGCAATACATAAAAGAAAGACCACAACAACACGTAGTTTCGAGACTAAAAGACGTAGATTTCACACACAAAAAATCAGGATGAATGAGGATGCATATTCGTTTGACATCAATGCTCTTCCCTTTTCTTCAGTTTGTTTGTTTGTATTTTTGTTAACATACATGATAATATAAAATGTTCATCGTGGTAAACGAAATAACAATTTGATCTAAGTAAGAGTTTTTTCTTCTTCCCAATTTGTAAGGAATCCTTACGTGAGAGAAAAAAAAAATGAATATTATTTCCGAAAATCCGTTATTAAAACCAAAACAACTTTTATGAAGTTTAAATTCACAGGCCTGTGATATCTAAGGCATTGATGATGTTTGTGTCATTTTACAGTTCATATTTATTAAGATTTTTTTTTTTGCATTTACCATTAATGCAATTTTTCATACATTACTTTTTCAGTCTTTAAAAGTTCAAAAAATATATATATTCAAACATCAAATAAACACAAAATATCTTCAGACTGTTTATTTGTTTTCATACACGGGATTTCATCAATTCGAAATGTGAACGAACAGAATGTAAGAAACGAAATATTGCCATAAAAATAATTAGCATTAAGTTTCATTCAAGCCGAATAAAAATTAACCTGTATCAACTTTTTTGTTTTAAGTTATATATATATATATATTTAAGTAGCATATTTTAAACTCATATATCTTTTAGTTAAGTCCTTTCTAGTAAAAGATTCGTCACTGATGAAAAAAAAAGGTACTCAAGAAAACTGAGAATCGTCGTTTTTATAAGAAGTATGAAAGGGGATGTATTCAATTCAATTCATTTCACACGGTACAATAAAATCATATATGTGTATAATACCGACATTAAGAAAGAAATGTATATATATATAAACCGAACAATAACACATATATACCGAAACACGTTTCTTTCTTTATGCGTGTTTTGCGTTCATGTTCCTATCTTCGAAATATTTCTTTCAATCAGTCGACGGAGGAAGTTCCGTTTTTTGTTGTTTTTTTTTCTTGAAATTCTCTCACAAAAGGAAACACTTCTGTTCTTAATAAGTTTTTTTTTTTTTCTCTAGATTGACCGTTCAGCACAAACGAAGACTGACGGATGGATGTTGATATCGACAGGAAATTTTAGGAATTACAAGAAATGAATAATTTTCCTGTAATGTACTCTTGAAAATAAGTGTTCAGGAAATACAGAGCTTGACAGACATTCGGCAATTATATATATAGTTACTAACGTAGTGACAACTCGTTGAAAGTGCGAATCGTAGCATCGTGGACGCCGTGTTTAGTACTTACATATTTAGATGACCAGATATTGGCGATCATTCTAAAGTGCAATACCGCCATGGTTGTTTGGTTGTAAGTAAGCACAAAGCTACACAATGGGTTATCTCTGCTCTGCCCACTACGGGTATCGAAACGCGGTTTCTAGCGATGTAATTCCGCAGACATACCGCTGTGCCACTGAGGGACACCGCCATGGTTACTCATAGATAGAAAGAACTTTCGTATAGCAATAATGTTAAATGATATATAACCAAAAGACAGGACAGTGCATCTGGGGAAATCGAACAAACAGGTCAGGTCTATTTAGCACGATGGTACCTGCACTCAACAGATACATGTTAACTCAATGTGATATAATAAAAAACTTTCAATTTTATTTTGTAAAAGAGAAATAGAACAAAGAAACTGACTAATCTTCCTCGAGCTACTTCGTGTAATGTTTGTATGTATTAACTGTTTCCTGAAGAACGTTTCTCTAATTACAATAAAGTATATCTAAGAAAAAATGTGACTGTCTTAACTTAGGCGTTTGTCAAGTTCAGGATGAAAAGTTCATGAAAAAAGAAAAGAAAAAGATACAGTTGGATAATACGCCGTTGTGTTACTAGTTTTATGTTCTGTTTAAAACAGAAAAATTAGTATTACCTCATTTACGTCATAATCCATGCGAGGAAGCACAGAGTTGTTACGTTTGATCTAAATTGAAATACAGTAGAGCTAAAAACTTTAACCGTTTTCAGTCTTAAGTAAAAGGTGATACAGTCGCGTTTATACATTCAGTGTGAAGTGAAAGTTTGTTTTTGTTTTGAATTTTGCACAAAGCTATACGAGGGCTAT